TGATCAGTGGGGTGTAGCGGATATTCACAGCTGGTAATCTTGGTGTGGGTGGGAGGCCCTTACCACGTGACAAACTAATGTACCTCACAAGGTTATTGAGAGGATGTGTACAATGCAAGCAAACATGTACATTCCTGAGCTTGTTGATAAAAGGTATGATTCATATGTAGTTAAACTAAAACAGGTCTCCCCCCAAAAGGTATCCCTTTTCAGCCTAATAATGGAATGACACCCTTGACATACAAATTTGTTTTTTGTTTTTTTTTGCAGGCATTGCTGTTAACAAAACAGCATTTGTCTCTTCCAACACCTCATTATTTTCGTTCCACCACAGACAGGAAGCAAGCAGGGGGTGAGGAGGGGAAAAAGCCATTTTGGCATTTGAAGCTACAGGATTTCACACCCACCCACCCACACTCCTTCCAGCCCCACAGGGAGAGCCTCAGCCTAAGGTTTCCAGCTGATCCTTACGGTGACTCCTCAGAAGGGCTTTCTAACACGTTCCTGCTCATGCCAGCTTTGTGTGTCCTGATTTAAAGGGGAAACTATGAGCGACATTTGTGTCCAGAATTACCAGAGGTTTTCCCTTCTGTTGTTTTAATTTGCTTTCCAAAGCTCCTTTCTCCCCTCTTTTAGTTGCATAAATGTGAATCTGGAACCATGAAGAATGCCTTCTGTTGCTCTACCTCAGGTAAAAAATTGTATTAGGCCAGTAAATCCACACAAGATGCGTGCAAACTTCATGTGCCTCTGTCCCAATAGGCAGAGGGGGATGTTTTCTACCTGTGTGTTTGAACGCATCTTAAGACATGAGTGTGTATTATATTTTTTTTTTGGGGGGGGGGAGGACAAGGCCAGTGCCTGCAGAATGGCAAGGGAGAATGAGGCACTATCAAGCCAACCTCAGACCCTCCAAGTGCCCCTATTTCTCAGGGATAGACCCAGATTTACAGAAACTGACCTGGTTTCTGCTTTGATCCCAGAATGTTCTGCTTTTCCTTAGGACGTCCCTATTTTGATCAGAGAAATGTTGGAGGGTATAGAGTTATGCGACCCCCGAGATAAGTAACTATACAACCTTTAGAACTCTTTTGAAGGAAGCCCTGTATGGGGAAGTTTTTAAAAAAATGTTCAATGTTTTATTATAAATTAAAAAATTGTTCAGTAGCACCTTAGAGACCAACTAAGTTTGTTCTGGGTATGAGCTTTCGTGTGCATGCACACTTCTTCAGATACCATGCACACGAAAGCTTATACCCAGAACAAACGTGGTTGGTCTCTAATGTGCTACTGGACAATTTTTAAATTATTTTGACTGTGTCAGACCAACACGGCTACCTACCTGAATGTTTTATTATGTTTTTATATATGTTGGAAGCTGCCCAGAGTGGCTGGGGCAACCCAGTCAGGTGGGCAGGGTATAAATAATAAAATGATGATGATGATGATGATGATGATGATGATGGAATAGGACACCTGCCAGTTCACCTGCCATTTTACTTGCAACCAGCCGCAGTGGGGGTGGGGTGGCTCTGCTTCTCATTGGCTCTGGCTCCAACTAATGCTGGTTCTCTGCCCTCCCAGTTCCAGTCGGCACCAGTTACCACTGGCTTCATATTTATGTACATAATTCTGTGTCTATTAGCCAACTGTTGAGAGAAAATACTTGATAAATAGTCCATGTTTTCTCATAGCTTTCTCTTGATAAATCAGAGGAGAATGGGGAAAAGTCTCAATTCTGCAAAGACAAGCAACCAGAACCACAAAAAATAAGGAACTGATGTTCCCCAGCACAAATCAGTCTTATAATGGAGGAGGTCAGGTGTTTACTACTCTGGGGTTGACCTTGTCAGAGTTCTGAGATTTATCAGTCCTGTCCTGGAATTATCAAACTGCTGTTGCAGACTCTTTCTCCCTGTTCTCAGAAGAACCATAAAGTTTGAGAAAGAGTTGTGTACAGAAGGGAAATCTTTCCTTTCCCCCTTTTTTGCTGTTCCTGGAACTTTGTGAGCTGTTTCCCCTGTGTGTGTCTGTTCTCTGCTATTCAGTTATTTGCACAGGAATAAACGTTTAGTTCTGAAAGTATGTTAAGAACAAAGCGGCAGAAATTGACTGGAATTTCCTTCATTTTCATCCATCTGGCTTTCATTGCCTGCTCCTCTTTCCTCCTACTCACCCACCCACCCAAATCTTTTTAGCACATGCTGACCAAGATGCAGGGGGGATATTTCAAAAAAATATAATTCATAACACCCACCGTGGAAATCTTTCATGCACTTGGTAGCACTCCCTGTCTTTCCAAAGACTACTCATGCCTTCACGGTTGTCAAGAAACAAGATTATGTTATAAGCCATGCATTTAAGAAAGGTGTCAAATGCTGCTTATATTAAGTTAATGCACCTTTTTACAGAACTATAAAGATTCAAGGGACATCTCTTATTTCAAATGGCAGTGCTGGTTAAGTTGCATGGACACCACAAAAAACTCTAAAAATCTTTTAAGGGTGCAACTGAAATCCCTGATCTGCCATGCTAGGATGGTGATGGGTATCCTAGACTAGAACAGCCTTATCTTCTGCTGCCATTGACTTCCCTCTTCCACCCACCAAAAGTACAGGCAGAGCTGGAATTACCACTGGCGGTCCCAAACCCAGTCGCAACTTTCCTTGGTGTAACCCTCCTAGGGTATGAACTCACCAAAGTACCCCCTTAGAGTGCTTCGAAAATCCAAGCGAGTGGAATAATATGTTTCTGGTCAGTACAAATTCCTCTTCTGTTGAAGAGGGAAATTGTTTCAGTTTCATTGATGGCATGCTTTAGCTTATGAAGTCATCTGCCAGAGATGCTTCAGAAAGAGAATATCCTATCTCAAGGGGAAGGGGATTTGTCTGTTGCCTGCCTGCAGGTAATCCTCTCTGCACTGATGCATCTGCAAAGGGACCTCTGAGCATATGCCAGCACTGTGCACAGGATTCTGGGGTTCAGAGGTGTACACTAAATTAATGTGAGCCTAGAATGCACCCAACAACATTTGCTTCTAGGTAAACTTGAAGAAATCCCAGAGTTCCTTGAAATGCAGCTTGTAAACCACTGGATCAGAACATTCATTGCCTCATTTCTAGGGCAAGGAAACTATGATTCTATAGTTTACTCCTGACTTGCAGGAAATGCAGCATTAGTAGATATATGGCCGAAAGATATCCATGTGGTAACATGAGAATCAGATGCATCCCTCACCCAGCAATTGTCTGAATTTTTTAAAAAACCAAACGCTTGTGCGAACTTTTCACATGTGGACAATTTCACACACTATGTGGACTTTGCAGCAAGAAAATAATAATTGTATGTGGAAGGGAGGTATGTGTTGGGAAAATGCCCAGGAGCTTCAGAAAACGGTGGTTTCTGTGTATTTTCACAAGCGCACCCCTCCTCCACATGTTACAGCGGTCTCAAAAGGGAGACACACTAGTTGGTTTGCTATTGAATATATATATATATGACACCTAGGAGAAATAGGCAGGCTTGATCCAATTTTGTTGCGGCACATTTAAGGGATCACAGAAGATGAAAACCTGATTGCTGAACCAACGTCTCAGCAAAAGTTGAAGCCGACACCTGCATAACGCTCTTATGTTTAAATATATTTAATTCCGCAAGCGTTCTGTATTAAGCAGGCCTCCGAGTTCTCACACTCAAATGTTCTCTGTTTCAAAAAGAACCCGAAAAAAGGACAGAGCAAGTAAAAGCAGGGCTGTTTTCCTTGCTCCTATTTCTTCCCACTTTCCTTCTCAGCTGGGGAGACCAGCCAATATGGTACTGAAGATACCAAGGCTGAGCACTTGGTAGGAAAGGAAAACATTCTCGGCAAATCCTGGGAACTGTAACTTTCCCCTCACAAAGCTATCCTTTCCAGCAAGCTTCATTGAACTATAGTTCCCAGGATTATCTAGGTGTGGGTGGGTGCTTTAAATGTATGTTATGTATGCAGCCCCTGGCTCAAATGTACACTTGGCTGCAATGTTTGCTGGCTAACTTAGGGCTGGGAGAGAAGTGTCTGCAATCTTGTACGGCCATTGCTAGACAGTGTTGATGATACTGAGCTACATTGACCAATGATCTTACTCAGTATAAGGCAGCCTCCTCTGCAAGCCTACAGCATTTAAGGCACATGCAGATGGGCAGGCAGGAAAATGAGTGAGGCCTCTGGCAAGGAAATAGATGAGAGGGCTTGCTTTGGAATCCACCCTAAATTCGATGGAATTTCTGAGCCCCCAGCTACCTACATACTAACAACCCTGAATAGATTCAGGTGAAACAATTCAATCATAATATGATATATGCCAGCATAAAGGGACCCCTGACCATTAGGTTCAGTCGTGGCCGACTCTGGGGTTGCGGCGCTCATCTCACTTTATTGGCCGAGGGAGCCGGCGTACAGCTTCTGGGTCATGTGGCCAGCATGACTAAGCCGCTTCTGGCGAACCAGAGCAGCACACGGAAACACCGTTTACCTCCCCGCCAGAGTGGTACCTATTTATCTACTTGCACTTTGACATGCTTTTGAACTGCTAGGTGGGCAGGAGCAGGGACTAAGCAACGGGAGCTCACCCCATCATGGGGATTTGAACTGCCGACCTTCTGATTGGCAAGTCCTAGGCTCTGTGGTTTAACCCACAGAGCCACCTGCGTCCCATATCCCAGCATATGTTGCCCCAATTTTGCTAGATTCAGTGGCCCACTTCAAATACTATTTGGTATAGTGAAAATTTAGTTTCAAGACACTGTAGGCCAATAGTTCTGCTTCTTCTATATAGGGACTGGCTAGCTCAGTCGGCAGAGGGTTGTGGGTTCAAGCCAGACGTTGGGCAAAAAATATTCCTGCATTGAAGGTGGTTGGAATAAATGACCTCAGGGGTCCCTTCCAACTCTACAATTCTGAGACATTATGATTCTGTGACTTCTGTATGCCTAACTGAAGAAAAGAGCAAAGAACAGCCTACCTTGGGGGACAAGGCTCCAGGTTACAAGCTTTCAGCAACTGTGGGGGACGCCGGCTGCTCACGCATAGATTTTCATCGGCAAACTCTCTTGTCTGTTTATTCAGGCAAGCCACTACTGCCTCTTGAACACCTGCAAACACACAGACACACACACACAATTACGTCAAAATAAAATTTAATGTAACAGAATCAGGGCGGAAAAATCGCAGTCAGCGCCAGGAGAGGAAAGTGCGGACATGGCATCAGCAGGGGTCCTTCTGTGTTGTTGTGGAGTTCATTGCCTCCGGGAGATGAATCTGATACTCCTTGCTGTCGACAGGGCAGGATCACACCATGCTGCCACCCATGGAACAGGAAGGGAAAGCATAGTGTCAGATGTTGGGAGAGCTGTTCCTTGTTACATCCTGTACCTGTATTAGGGTTGCAAAGGAACTGGCATTTCTTCACTGGCAAGCGGCAAATAAAAAAACAAAACAAAACCCCACAGCTTTCGAATTCTTTTCTGATTAAGAAAACATCTCAATCTATTCACATTACAGTTCTTGGTTTACTCGGTTCATTCTTTCTGCAAAGAAACACAGCTATGGAACCATTACCTCCTGCCGCTGAAAGTTGAGTGCCCACAATTTTTAAAGTTTCTAGCTATGGAGCAAATGGTCTATGCACCAGGCGACACCGACAGCAGCATGGCCCTGTTCTCAGAATACCTGGAATAAGGTGCAGGTATTGGGAATTCAGGTTCTAAGCCTATCTACACAAACTAAGGTCCGGTAAATCATCATCAAAACCTTTTATTGGCAACACATACAAACATCCAAAACAAATCAATACAGAATTACCACTTCCCCAGTGGCACAAAACATTTGCTAAAAGAAAGGAGGCAGAGCAGTCAATCGTCACATCTCTTGGTCTCCAGGGAGATCAGACATCTGCAGTGTATTTCGACAACAAAAAATGAAATTCCAATCTTTAAAAAGGGTGATAAAAAGCTGCCATCGAACTTTCAGCCAATAAGTCTATTGTCAAACATCGGGAAAGGTCCAGTAAATGCAGGTGTAAGCGGAACTTTGCTCCACCAAGCTAAATGGAACTGAAATGGCTCAGGGATTAATATCTCCTAACAATGTTGTTACATTCCAGCTACAACTATAAGACCAATGCAAAAAATAAGAAGTTTTTAAAAATCCTATTTACAAAAATCAAATTCACAGTGCAACCCTGTACCTGTCTTCACAACTGAGTTCAATAGGGTTTCCCTTCAGATAACCAGACATAGGATTGCAGTCTTAGGGCCAAACCAGGTACTTTCATTCTGCAGCGAGCAGCTATGTTATTTAATTTTTATGGTGGGGGAACTTCTCATCAGAGCCACAGGACATGGGAAAGGAAGGTTTAACACACCCTGCAAACATGAATATTGTGAGGGGTGTGTGTGTGTGTGTGTGTGTGTGAGTGAGTGAGAGAGAGAGAGAGAGGAGAGGACACTTCCTAACTATTATTATACAGCCCTTTCCATAGGAGATATAGATGATAGATAGATGATAGATAGATAGATAGATGGATATTTCCAGCTAGTGTGGTTCTGTATACAGTTCTGAAAAGCTACTGACAGTGCAGTTATATCTCAGGACTCAGGGCAGGTTAAAAATCCCCAAACTATCATTCTGCCCCATCCCCAAAAGGGTTTTGCAGCACATGTTGAGATTTCCCGCACATTTGCATAAGCAATGCCAGAAAAAGGCCGTGACAAGTGTAATGCATCCGTTGCCTATGTCTTGGCATCCACAAAGCACACACAAATGCTGGGCCAGATATGTTAATTAAGTGAAGCTAAAATATGCAAATTAACTGCAGCCCTCTAATATGTTTCCAGTGTTGCTCTCGGTGTGTTGACATAAAGTAGCCGGCCCCAGGCCTCAGGAAACCAGATGCAAGGCATTGTTTTCTCTGTGATGCGAGGCGAATGGGCCGCCTTCGCCCATGTGGCTAGACTGTCTCTGGGTAATTCAGGGGTCATCCAGTTGTGATTACAAGGCTTTATGGGATGGCAATGTTTAGCTTAGGCGAAACCTTTGGCATCACCTCCACCACAACAGTAAAAGCAGCAGCAGCAGCAGCAGCAGCAATGTAGAGGTTCACCCACCAAAGCACCAAACTCTTTTGAAGATGACAGCATATTTACAAAAGCATCAAGAAAGCCTGAGAAGCCATGCTGAATGAGCAAAAACAACACTGCCACATGCATGGAAGCTACAATGCCTTGATTTATTTTTGTTTTTAACGCCAAAGCTTAAAAAGAAACACACCGCCTCTTTTTATAGTGCAGAATCAAAGCACTGCTCTTCAAAACGCTCCTTTGCTTTTCATCAGAGTCACAGAGCTGTGAGGACCCACAGCTCTTGCCTGGTTTTATTCCCTACGGGCCGCTCGCCGGATAATGCAAAGCACTATCACACCGTTGCACCACCAGCACCTCACTCTGAGCTGCAATGTTGGCCCGTAAACATGGGCAGGTATTCATGGGCAATGCAAAAAATTCTAGTCTTCCAACATAAACGGCCAGGGACAGGTGCAAGGGACTAGAAGCAGAATGAGATCCGAGCTTCAGGGCACTCCATGCACAACATTTTTAGGTGTCTTTCTGTGGTGGCCACCAACAAACTGACACCTAGGAGGAAACGCAAAAGGAAGGGCAAAATAGAACAACCATTTGCATGAAATATGCACATTGGCACCTGTCTGTTTCGTGAGACAATGGAGGAATGTGCCTCGGTCAAGCTGTTGGAAGGTAGTGGTGCCTGCTGTGGCTGGAGAGTCTAATACAGGAGAGACATGTTTTGTTGCAGCCGGGTGTGATGGGTCTGGAAGCCTTTCTCAAGGAATACCTCTGCTCACTCAGAGATATATTTACAGTCTTTATTTACATACAAATTTACAGGGTCCAGAACATAGCTTCATGCGTCCGAATCCTCGGTAGCAGATCCAGGAAGTGGGAGCTTTCTGCTCCTCCTCCAGCAGACCCTTTCGGAGAGGTGAGCCATTGCTGCAGCTGCCTTGCCAATTCACTTGTCCAGCTCCACATATGCATACGCTAAACATTAATTCAACTATAGCTGGTCATGATGTGAACACATGGCCGTTGTGCTTGCTGTCTAGAAACTAAAGGTTGACGGGCAATTTGAAGGTCACCACTCTCCCTTCTTAGGATTTGGCCCAGAAAGCCCTTCTTCAGAATAAGGATGCTTTCAGATAGAGGACTTTCCTCCTTAAAGCAGCATTATTATTATTATTATTATTATTATTATTATTATTATTATTTGTATACCGCCCTTCATCCAAAGATCTCAGGGCAGTTCACAGAAGGATATGTGATTACTAGATATACGCTTAAAATTATAAAGTGTGAATGCAACAGACACATGCTTGCAAACACGAAACACTTTTTTAATAAACATAATTTCTCTTATCTCTAATATCTTAATCTGTGTCCTGTAGACTACAACTCCCATCAGCCCCAACCAGTATGGCCAATGGTCAGGAGTGATGGGAGTTGCAGCCGAAAGCTCTGGAAAGCACAAGTGTGGGGAAGGGTTAGAGGCAGCACTGGAGAAAATCCAGGGTGGTTTTTTGCACAGGCTCACTGCGGACGGTAAGGTCTATGAGAGTGAAGAACAAGATACGGTGAGGATACACTCAAAGGTGTGGTAATAATGGGAGATGCTATTATTAAAGCAGCAGTCTTCCTAACAAGTTCACAGTGACAGGCTGAAGCCCATGGTGATGAGGTTATTGCCTCGTTTGTCATTGTGTTACACATTTTTGTGTTGCGTGGCGAGTTCCCGCCTCCCAGCTCAGAAATAAAGATACGAGACACGAGAATTCGAGTTAATGGGTCAAATTAGGCCACAACTTTATTGATTACAGGAATTGAGTGGTATTGGCTTAGGCATTGGTCCTATCAACTAACCAGCTGCAGCCTGCTTGCTTGAAGACCGGTAAGGGTTAACCACCAGTAGGGGAAGTCCCACTGATGCACATCAACTAGGAGCTCCCCCGGGGCCACTGCTCGGGGGTGTGCCGTGGGCCCACACCTCCATAGGCTTAGGACAAGGCCACGCCCCCCTGAAAAAACCCGGTCAGCTGAGGTGCTGGAAAGAGGGAGATCCTCGGCCAGCCCTAAATTAGGCAGGCCATGCCTCCTGGGCCAGCCGATTGGCTGGCCAGGGGGATGACACGTCCGAGGATTCCCCTGAAAGCCGGCCCCCGCATGTGGGGGGAGGGGCGTGAAGCCCGCATCCCCACCTCGTCCCTCGCTCGGAAGTGACTTTTTTGTACTGTAAACTTCCAAGTGGTTAGAAAATGGAAGTTTCATATCACTATTCACCCATCACAGCATGCGAAAACCTCCTTAGCAACTCCAGTCTGCCGTAGTTACGAACGTTTTCAAGCAGACTTCCTTGTGAATTCATAATGAAGTCAGAACTAAACCAATGAACTATTGTGTCCATTCATTTCAAGAGGAAGACAGGTTTTTTTGTAGCATCCTGTGACCTCAGACCATTCTCTGGCAGAAAGCACTGCTCTGAACTATGTGCTCCTTTATGCAGTTTTAGAAAGGATAGGTGAGCCCATATTCTCCCTTGTCCTCAGACAAAACTAGAAAGTGGCCGGAAGAGATAGATAAGTAAAGGTGGGGACCTCCTATATGAAATGGCAACGGTGCATTTCCATTCTAAAAAACATTTGCTTGTGTTTCAGACATTTTTCAATAGCTAGTAAAACATTCGAGATGCAGCACAGAACCAAGTAGCATGATAGTGATTTGTCCCTCTTGGAATTTTAGGATTAGATCTTGCAGCTTCCAACACAGATGAATTCAAAAACTGGAAAATACATATAACGAAGAAGCTGTACATTCCTTTCTAATGAGAAAATAAGCTGCTCAAAATGGGACACAGAAAAGCCCTGGGCTTTCCACTTTCCAGGGTATTTGAGGCTCGAGTTTTAAAAATTATTGCTCACAATTTTAACATAATGAAGCTGGGTTTGTTTTTCCTTGAAAATCCCTGAAGTTTATGGCTGGGAAATTAAACTGCTACACGGAGCAAGGGGAGGACATGAATCTAAGTAGCTTTCAGTTCACTTTCAATATACCATCAAATAGGATTTGCTGTGTTTATATCTACCAGAATAGCATAATTGTTACATGATACTTGATGACAGCAGTGGAAGACGCAGCCACTTCATGAAGACTAAATTGTTAACTGGTTCCTTCTGGCTGCTACTCCTTCGAGGGTGAAGGGCTACTTCTGCATGAATCAAATTTCATCTCCAGAGAGCACAAGAACAATAAAATTAACTTGATCTGTCATGCAACTGTGGAAACAAAATGATTATTTGGAACCTATTTATTCCATTTTAATCTGCTTAACAGAAAACGTTTCCCCCCAAAACATTCTGCATGCCAGTCATTTCGCAAACAATCAGATGGCAGTGAATGGATCAAATAACTGGTGTCTGCTACAGCCACATATTATCAGGTACAATAAATGTAACAAGAGTTGCCGCTCCCAAGTTCTCTGTGGCAATGCTGTTCAGCAGACTGAGTGCTGGATGTGAATCCAACTCATGGAAACAAGTGGTTGCCATACAAAGGTCTTTATTTCCTACAAACCACTGCACTTTGATATGGAGTAGGAATGCTGCAATGTAGAGCCCGCGGTTCTCACAGTGTGTGTTATGGGCCTCCCCAAAGCGGTGTGCGGCAAGCACACTGCTTCCCAGTTCAGAACAAATGTGGACTGGGGTCAGGAACGAGAGGACAAACATTTCTTTTTCAATCAGTGCATGTCAGAAGCAGCACATCTGCTTGATGAGATGGTTGACAGCCAATGATGAAGCTCTCTATTTTAACTGGCTATCTTATTTTAAAAGATGCTGTGGTACTGTGTTGACCCGATCCCTCACTTTTCTAAGCTAATGCAAAAACCCCCCCAGCAGCTAGACTAGGAGTAGCTGCCGGGACCATATAACACCGGTCCTGAAAGACCTACATTGACTCCCAGTACATTTCCAAGCACCAACACTGTCACGGTCTGGTTCACGGGTGATCGAAGTCCTGCTGGGGATGTCAGGACCGGGGGCAAGATGGCGGGGTGGGAGCAGGAATGGGGGTCCAGAAGCCAGACGTCAGGAGTCAAGAATCCGAGGGTCAGAGAGCCGGGAGTCAAGAAGCCAAGAGTCTGAGCGTCAGGAAGCAAGGAATCACAAAGCTGAGGTTCAAGGATCAGGAAGCAAGAAGCCAAACAAAGCAAGGCAGGGAGCATGTTGCTGTGGCAAAGAGCTGAAGGGAAATGCTGACCTTCTATCCCTTCCTGGCTCTTGCCACCAGGTGCTGTGAGTTACCAATCGGCCTCACCTGTGCAGCCGCGCCTTGCCTCCTCAGAACAAACTTAGGAAGGCCCCAGTCCTGCAAAGTCCTATTGGTCACAGGGCCTGGCTCCTGCACGCACACCTGACAAACACTTTGAAGCCCTAAACTATGGGTCGGCAAACTAAGGGCCGGGGGCTGGATTCAGCCCAATTGCCTTCTGGATCCGGCCCACGGACAGTCCGGGAATCAATGCATAGCTCAGCAAATGGCAGTGGGTGCCAAGGAGGTCATGGTGGAGCCTCTTTCCTAAATGGGAATGGAGCTTCCAGCCCTCGTAACCTCTGGTGCAAAATTGACTGTGATAGACCCAGGAGGACTCCCCTGCTCAGCACCTGAGGGCCCCAATCCTACGACTCAGCACCTGGCCCAGGGCGGGGCCTGATGGGCTCTATAAAGGACTGCTGCCGCCGCCGCTGGACAGAGAGGGCTCCGTTTAGTTTAGTGCTTTTTGTTTAAATTGCTGTTATTTTTTACCTATGTCATTTTAAACTGTGATATTAATGCTGTATTCTTAGTTTTAAATTTAGATTTATGTGGAAATTGTTTCCCATTTGGTTGTGTATTTTTTTGATGTGGTTTATTTATTGTTTATGACTTTTGGAATGATGTAAATCTTGTTATTCTGTAAGCCGCCTTGAGCATTGTTTTTTTAACTGTGGAAAGGTGGCATGTTGTTGTTGTTTAGTCATTTAGTCGTGTCCAACTCTTCATGACCCCATGGACCAGAGCACACCAGGCACTCCTGTCTTCCACTGCCTCCTGCAGTTTGGTCAAACTCATGCTGGTAGCTTTAAGAACTCTGTCCAACCATCTCTTCCTCTGTCATCCCCTTCTCCTTGTGCCCTCCATCTTTCCCAACATCAGGGTCTTTTCCAGGGAGTCTTCTCTTCTGATGAGGTGGCCAAAGTCTTGGAGCCTCAGCTTCATGATCTGTGCTTCTAGTGAGCACTCAGGGCTGATTTCCTTCAGAATGGATAGGTCTAAACTTCTTGTAGTCCATGGGACTCTCAAGAGTCTCCTCCAGCACAATAATTCAAAAGCATCAATTCTTCTGCGATCAGCCTTCTTTATGGTTCAGCTCACACTTCCATGGAAAGGTGGCATACAAATAAAAAATGATGATGATGATTCTCCAGCTACCTAATGGTCCATCTCTAGGCATGCACTCATTCCATCCCTGTACTCACTCCAATTTGAGTTTTGACCTGGGTTTGGTGCGAAAGACTACACCTGGGGCTTCTTCTGGATTCAAGAAAGCATGTTGACCTGCTTTCAGAGCTCTGTAAATTAGGGTTGTCATACGTCCAGAATTTCCCAGACCCAGCCGGAATACGGCCTTCGGAAACAGTGTCTGGGAGGAAATAGCTGAAATGTCCAGGAAAACCCAGACACATGGCAACCCAGGTTGAAAGTCTAGTTTTTGGTGCAACAACTTTTGGGGGAGGGGATGTCTGGATTTTTACTTTTTGAAATATGGCAACCCTATGTAAACTGTGTATGTGTCAGATTTGAGCGACGCTGCAGAGATAAATGCTTTCTGTGCCATTTTTAAACCCACTTCCCTATATTTACCTGAGAATGAGGTAGTAAGGGAAAGCGATGTTTTGTTCTGATAGGGTACAGGAAGTGGGATAACCAAAGGAAGGAATGAATAATTATGAAACATTATTCACTTCGTGATAAAAATGTTCTTTTTCTATCATGCACAAGTTACCGCATTTTTCGTTCTATAAGACGCACACCAGACCATAAGACGCACCTAGTTTTTGGAGGAGGAAAACAAGAAAAAAAATATATTCTGAATCTCAGAAGCCAGAACAGCAAGAGGGATTGCTGCGCAGCGAAAGCAGCGATCCCTCTTGCTGTTCTGGCTTCTGGGATAGCTGCGCAGCCTGCATTCGCTCCATAAGACGCACACACATTTCCCCCTACTTTTTAGGAGGGAAAAAGTAAGTCTTATAGAGGAAAAAATACGGTACTCAGAACCCATGAAATGCAAGCCATTTGTTACAATTCCTGTGTGGAAAACCCCCAGCTTCAGAGGAGCTAAGGAATTTTAGGAACGGAACGTTTCTAATGGGCGTGATTTTCATAAGCAATTAGCAGAAAATGACTGAGTAGACCCAAATGGATTAGACACCATGTACATTAAACAATTCTCATAATATGCATAAATGGTGACCCTCCTTAACTTTTAACCTAAGTGCCAAACTTACTAGCTCCAGGCAATCTTTTCGCTGGTTATTTTTGCCATATGTTTTCTCTCTCTCTCCTTTACCCTGCACCGAGATCCAAGCTAATGTCATTTGCTAGTAAAAGCTATCAAAACCAGCTGAGTCTCCAGTAGATTCAGTAAAGAAATACATATGCAACAGCCCAACGCTTGGGATCCACATGTCTCTGCTTACAAAGCAGAAGTCAGGCAATGCAAAGCTAATGACACCTGATGCTTCCTGACTTAATCTTGTTCTTTAAAAATACGCTTCCCTGGCCCAAATGTAAGTGGTCAGCAGGAAATGTAAACAACCAGACTACTGCATTAGTCATATGAAAGACCCCAGCTGTGAATTCTGATACCTTCTAGATCCAAAATGGTATTACATCTGGACTTTATTTCGATAGTTCCCTCACAGAGCCACTCTTCCATTTCAAACAGAGAAAACAGAAGACCGAGGTCTGATTCTCACATTTCGGCTGCCACAGTCGAGCTGGTGGGACCATCCACACAGTACCCAAAATGTGCAGAAGGTGCTCATTTCATGGGTTATTGATGGATAGACGGAGTCGCTTTATATGCCACATTTATCCACATTTCCCATTAGCCAGCTGTGTGCCTTGTGAAAATCGGCTCTAATCCGCTGAATTGAAAAGCTCAGTTGGACAAAAACCCCTCTTCAGATTTTCCACACATCTGATAAGAACTAATTTAGTGGGTAAGGTTGTGTTTTTGCAAGGCACCGCTGTAGAACAATGAGAATAGCTCTTGGGCAGAGGGAAGGATTAATCAGTACACAATAAGATCAAAATGTGAGTCGGGTGACAGTGTGGATGCAGTTAGTTCAAATTAAGTCTGATTATAATCAATGAGGCACGTAAGGGACCCCTGACCGTTAGGTCCAGTTGCAGACGACTCTGGGGTTGCTGTGCTCATCCCACTTTATTGGCTGAGGGAGCCGGTGTACAGCTTCCAGGTCATGTGGCCAGCATGACTAAGCCGCTTCTGGCGAACCAGAGCAGCGCATGGAAACATTGTTTACCTTCCCACCAGAGCGGTACCTATTTATCTACTTGCACTTGATGTGCTTTTGAACTGCTAGGTTGGCAGGAGCAGGGACCGAACAATGGGAGCTCACTCTATCGCGGGGATTCGAACCGCCGACCTTCTGATTGGCAAGCCCTAGGTTCTGTGGTTTAGACCACAGTGCCACCCGCATCCCAAGGCACTTAAGGTAGTCATGACTTAATACCCATCCATTTTTTGCCTGTGGGTAGGCAATATTTAAAACAAGCAAAACAAACAAGTTGGGGGAAAAAATGCAACTCACCTCCTGCACAAGACTCAGAGCACTCTGTGAAGCCTTCATACTCCCAGTCATGGAGTTCGTCAAAATCCTGCGAGCCGCCATAAAACACATCAGCCTCTTCGGGACTATATTCGCTGGTCTCCCCATTGCAAGGGCCGCCATAACAAGCTCGTTCGGAGGCTGGTTTGGGCCCTTCACATTCATCAATGGGTAAATCAGCCACAGATTGAGAGAAGGAGAGCAGAACTTGGCACTTCACTAAGCGGACTTGGATTCCGACCCCACAGGTCACGCTGCAGGCAGACCAGGTCTCTGGAATAAACCTACAAGGAAAAGCAAACATACGAATCATCTCCCTAAGACAGTGGTTTTCAGTCAGGGCACCTTGAATGGTGGCCAGGTGGATTGCAAGGCAGTAGTCCTCCAGACAAGACAAAGTACATAAAATAATACAATACAAATTAAGAAGCAGAGACTAGAGGGTGGGGCAAGGCAGGTGGAAGGAGGCCTTGCCAGACGAAGTCTCTCCCCACACCTCAAGGGAGCTGTGGACTCAAAAAGACTGAAAACCTTTGCTCTAAGGCAGGCACAGACAAACTCAGCCCTCCAGATGTTTTGGGACTACAACTCCCATCATCCCTAGCTAACAGGACTGGTGGTCAGGGATGATGGGAATTGTAGTCCCAAAACATCTGGGCCGAGTTTGCCTATGCCTACTCTAAGGTGTCTGGGCCTCTCTGTCAGAGATGCCAAAACTGTAACTTGAAACCAATATTATCTGAGAAGTTCAAAGGGCTCCTTCCATTCATGGAAGGGACTCAGGTCCAATGGAAGCTCCTGTTGAAGAAGGCAGGTTTGAGGAGGCTGCATGCAGGCTAAAGGGGAATGAATCAGTGAAAACTGCACCCCCCCTTTTTTAGTGTGAGCATCCTGTGAGTGGATTCAATTTAAGTAAAGAAAGATGGTCCCTTCGCAGTGCGAAGGAAATGGGCCAGATGACTTTAAGGAAAGTCTAGCTTCATAATTTTATAATTCCACAGATTCCTCTTACCAAAAACATGACCGCAAATTAAAGCAGGGCAAAATGGCTCTACTATTAAAAAAGCATGTTAAGTTCATGCAGCACACCCTGTTAAATGAAATAATGGAGATGTGCATAAACCACATGCTCGGAGCAACAGCAGAAAAGAGAAATGTATAGCCTGTAAGGAAACTCTTCTAGGGAATGAAAATTGCTGCATAAACTATAATCTACTCATTATTAATCATTTCACTGTGCACAGTAATTCATAACTGAAAAGCAGGAAATAACATCAGGAATTTATATTTTTTCCTGCTTCCTAAACAGATACTTTGCATTTTGAGTTATGAGCCTAGTAGGGTAGGTTTATGCTATGTAATAACTTGCTTCAAAGGCATAAAGAGAACCTGTGGAGCTGAGAGCAATAAAACATACAAGGTTGCCATTAGAAAGTCAACATTTACTAATAACAACCATATTTCTGAGTTTGGTGATAGTGCTACTTTGCTGTGAAATAAATTCTTAACATATGCTTATGAGTTACTCTGTAGTACAAAACTGTAAGAGATATATTCCAAGCTTATTCATCTATTTGGAACGAGCGACACTTGACTAGTCAGAGTTGCGGTAAAGCAAAGTGCTACTTGCACAGGGTTACAGCGATAAAATAATTAATATCCTGTGAATTAATATAATCAGGATCACTGTGCTTAGCATGGTCTTGATTATTTGAATCTCAGTGAATTAGCTCAGAACGGAACTTAGCACTGAAATAGTAACTGGATCAAATGGCAGTTCCATACACTGAGCTAATAATCCTATATATTTCTGATATTCAGGTTATGAGTGCCATTGATTATGCAACTTCAACGGCACCACCCACAAATAATTATTACAATAATTGTAACAATGCAATTATTATCAGTAGACTTGGAGGGGGGGAAGCTCCATTTGCAGAAGTACTTTTTTTTTAAAAAAGGAAAGCTACTTAAGGTGAAGAAAGAACCCAGTGAGGACCAAGCCTACTGAATAGTCACAGAATGCTGACTTTTAGGAACAGAAATGTAAAAAAGGTGGGGGGAAAGGGGATGGAATGGGGTGGCTTGGATTTTGAAAAGTGTTTCTTCTGGATTGCGACATTTTGTTTCAGGTCCAACTTGCATGCAGAGTGAGGGGAGAGACTTCACCAGGCAAGGCCTTCTTCCACCTGCCTTGCTCCACCCTCCAGTCCCTGCTTCTCATTTTGTATCGTATTATTTTATTGTATCATTTTGTATTGTATTGTATCATATTGTATTGTATCGTTTTGTATCGTATTATTATTTTGTATCTGGAGCTTGCCGTTGTTTTACTGATTGAAGTTTAGAAATTACTGTATTTTTCGCTCTATAAGACGCACCAGACCACAAGACGCACCTAGTTTTTGAAGGAGGAAAACAAGAAAAAAATATTCTGAATCTCAGAAGCCAGAACAACAAGAGGGATCACTGCGCAGTGAAAGCAGCAAGCCCTCTCACTGTTCTGGCTTCTATGATAGCTGCGCAGCCTGCATTCGCTCCATAAGATGCACACACATTTCCCCTTACATTTAGGAGGGAAAAAGTGAGTCTTATAGAGCAAAAAATACGGTATTTATTGTAAATATTATGAATGGATTTCTGTTTGATTTTTTAATATGCTGATATTATTATTTTATACTATTCTAATGACTATCAAATGTTACTGTATTTGATGTAGGTTGCTTATTTTAAAGCTATGTTTTATTATCACATTTTTGTATTGCATTAGATTGTTATAAGGTGTACATTCTTTGTTTCTTCAGCTTGTAAACCGCCTTGGGTATTGTAAGATAGAACTATGGTATACAAATTAAAAGTGATGATGATGGTGATATTTTTGCTGCTGGATACATTTGGGACGACATTCACATTCACGCCCTGCTTGTGAACTTCCTGAGGCATTTGGAAACATATTTGCAAGGCAATTATGATCTTATGTGCAGGAAGCTTTTGAGGAGCGGTGAGTGGGAAGCATTCAAACCCACAGTATTGCTTCTCCTGATGCTTCGGTAGAATAACGCTGGTAGAACAACTCTGGTAGACCTGATCTACATGACTTATGCCCAATTAACGCAAACCATTAGCTATTTATTGCTATGAAATGGGCACTCCCAACCAAATCATTTTGGCTTTCCCAACAGAAACTTGGAATGGTACCCTGGATTTAAGTGCATGAGATAATTAGCAGAAAGATTAATTGCCACATTCTCAATTCTTTCACATTAAAACTCAAATCAACACATTGTTTGTTTGTTTGAAAGAACAAAGCTATAAAGCTAGCATGTATCCTGGAATGTAGAAACCAACAACAAAAATTCATTATATCCAGAACTGTATAGCCAGGCAAACACCTTACATCTGTAATCAATAAAGTGGTGGCGTGATTTGAATCAAAGAATGTTGTCACGAGTTGTCATTCAAGCACATGCATGTTGCAGGGTCATTATGCCTGGGCATGCAATTTCTTCTGCTCCTTCCACAAGCTCCCCAACTGCCTTGTAATCTTGGGTTACCAGCTAGAGGAGTAACTGCCTGATATACTGTACCCAGTTTTGTTAACAATGCATGCATCTCCAGACCATGGCTAATGCAAAAATAACCATGCCTAGCAAATAAGTTCACAAATCCTTTTTTCCCCCAAAAGCAAACAAATAAGCAATGTCCCTAATTAAAATTAACATTTAAAATTAAATTCTTGAGTTGCAAAATAAAATGCCAAATCACGCCCCTGTTTGATGTGAAGCTCTGTGCAATCGTTTGACAAACTCTTCTTCCTTCAGGCAGGAAGGTCTGAGTTCTTTTAACTTATAAAAATGAACATGCTTCAAATTCAACATTTGCGGTTAAGGAATATTGCTCCTGAGATAAAGATCGCCTCGTTTATAAAAACAACAATGTAACGGGGCCCTACTATTTTAAACAGATATTAGCAGTGAGAAGGTCCACATTTTGTTTTGGCATGGAACAATCACATTCATTTATCGTTAAAATCCTCTAGAGCGAAGTGGGGTGGTTTGTAGTCAAAGCTTTGAGAGAGCAGTGGCAAGAGAAATGGAGAAAGACAAAGGGAAGAAATCGCACAAGTTGATCCAATGCCCTGGCAGCTGAGAGGGAATTTTCCCAACTGTTTCAAAACGCAGTGGACTGCAACCATAGGAAATATACCTCCAAAGCGATATTTTGGCCGACAGAAAGCAGTGCAAAAACTAAAGGGAAAAAAGTATTCGTAGATAATATCAAGAGCAATATATACATAACTAACATCCTCGCTGACAGCCTCAGATCCTCCAGGGCACCTCTAACAACCAATTTTCATCTCCTCTTTCATCTAAATATGGAATGTTCAAAAGGCTTCAGGATACATCATCTCCTTGTAACCATTTCCAGAGAGGCAGTCATGCGAGCCTTTGCAAAGCAAAAAGCCATGAGGCATCCTTGAAGACCAACAAGTTTACTATGGGATAAGGTTTTGTCAATTGCAGTCTACTTCATTAGATGCATGGAGTGTTATCCTGAGTTGCAATAATAATAATAATAATAATAATAATAATAATTTATTATTTATACCCCGCCCATCTGGCTGAGTTTCCCCAGCCACTCTGGGCGGCTCCCAATCAAGTGTTAAAAGCAGTACAGAATTAAATATTAAAAACTTCCCTGAACAGGGCTGCCTTCAGATGTCTTTTAAAGATAGGATAGCTGCTTATTTCCTTCACATCTGAAGGGAGGGTATTCCACAGGGTGGGCGCCACCACCGAGAAGGCCCTCTGTCTGGTTCCCTGTAACCTCACTTCTCGCAATGAGGGAACTGCCAGAAGGCCCTCGGCACTGGATCTCAGTGTCCGGGCTGAACAATGGGGGTGGAGACGCTCCTTTAGGTATACAGGACTGAGGCCGTTTAGGGCTTTAAAGGTCAGCACCAACACTTTGAATTGTGCTCGGAAACGTATACTGGGAGCCAATGCTTGTCACAACCCTACAAAAGAAGTCGGAACCATATTTTTTTAAAAAAGTTATCTTATTCATTACATCCATATCACGTCTTTACTCCAAGGCAGTCAAGGTGGTCTTCATAGCTCTCCTCTCCATTGTAACCTCACCACAACTAAGGACAGGCCTGAGGTTACCCAGGGAGCTTCATGGCTGAGTGGGAATTTGAACCCTGGTCGCCCATGTCTGAGTCGAGGAGGAGGAGGGAGAAGAAGAAGAACTGGGTTTGAGAGATACTGCTTAAGTGTGTTCT